GGTTATATAAGTTTTAGGGTTTAGGGCTTGGGGATTAGGGTTTAGGGTCTAAACTCCTTGAAGCGGGTTAGATAAGGGATTACATAGGGGAGTAAAGGGGATACTAGGAGTTTGGACTATGGCTCATCTAATGAGGTTTAGGGTTTAGGATTTGGAGATTGCTGCTAGTATTGGTGCTATATTCCTCTGTATTACGACTATCTATTGCTATGCATTAATTATTATATATTGCTAGAAAACTATCTACAGGGCTACCTGGAAAGGGGTTATAGGGATAATGGAGAATCAAATGGAAGAGAACATTGACAATGCAATGGATGCTAGGATAAGTATATGGGGATTTCATGGGGATAAGTACGTTTTTTCTGGGACATTACCCCAACAAAGGAGACTCAAAACGAAAAGAGACCCGAAAACGAACTGAAAACAAAACCAGGAGAGCCACGCAGAGCCCCACAGGCAGGAACTTCGAAGTGGCCGGAGTCTAGTAATAATAGTAATAACAGTAACGATGGATATAACAATAACATGAATAACAGTAATGATAGCAACGGTCGTATTAAGAGAAATAATAGAGACATAGTAACGATAGTAGTAAGAACCAGAATAGTACTAAGAGTTGCCGTCCAGGGCCTTCAAGCGACGGAGAGCTGGCTGGCGGCTCCGCTGCACCATCCTCAGGGAACCCAAAGAGACTGTGTTCAGTTCACATGAGCTATGCTCTAAACTCCTTAATGGGGATTATATAGGGGAGCATTATAGGGATGACTAAGTGGAATACTAGGAGTTTAGACTAGTTATAGCTCATGCTCAGTCCACCTGTATGTCATCATAGGAGATCATGAAGACCAGCGGCGTGGAGTGGACCATGATGTTCAAGGATGGAAGGGTTTAGGGTTTAGGGCTAGGGGGGTGTACCAGGAAAGAGAGGGCTTTGTAAGCGAAGAAGAACTGGGTGGTTTCGGTACCCCCATATATTGGATGCAGTAATATGATCTATAGCCCAAAAGTGGCCTGTAGTATTGCAAGCAACCTTAAGCCCTAAATAGTAGCTTCCATTTTCTTTTCCATTATCCCTATATAGCCCTAATGTACTATTTCGTAGTTTCCATTTTCCTGTTCATTATCCTTATATAGCCCTAATATGCTATATAGTAGTTTCCATTTTCTTTTCCAATATCCCTATGTAACCTCCTTGGAACAACCCAAGAGTTGACGTCAGGCAGCCGATGATTTTGCACGGAAGAATGGTCTCCGAAAGTTGGGAGACTCCGAGACAGCAGCAGCCAAGATGGCTCGGAGCCCCAGAAACGTTGCTTTGTGTTCAATTACTTTGGGTACTGCCCCCACCTAATTAGTAACAGTCTATATTAGGGGTCCTATTAAGGGCTATATATAATCATATTATAACTATTATCCAATTGTTACTGAGGGGGGCAGTACCCAACAATTAGTGTTTCAGGCTTGGGGGTTAGGTGTTTAGGGATTTTGGCTTTGGGGGTTTAGGATTCAGGGGTTTGGGGTTTAGGGTTGCCGTGCGTGAATCTCAAGCGTTGCTGTTGGAACCTGTCCAGACTCTCAGAAGAAGACAGTAGGGAATAAGGGAATCTCCTGTACTATATGGGGAAAAATGGGGATTATATTCCCTTGTCCCCGACTACAAACCAGTAACTTAATTAATCCTAAGCCCTAAAACCCTAAAATCCTAAATAAAGATTATCTTCCCCTATTCCCTACGAACCGCCCGTGAAGTCTCGTCTTCGCATTTTTGCATTCCTCCTTCGCACGAGCCAGGCCTCCTTCTACCCACAAGATGAGGTTGCCCGGAACCTGCGCACAACATCGTGACAGCGTCGTATAGTGGTACTAATAGCAATCATAAGAATAGAAAATAATGGCAACACTAGTCATAACAGTAATATACTAGTAATAGTAGTAGTCATATCGATACTATTAATAATGGTGATAATAGAGGTAATTGTAGTAGTATTAAGAATCAAATAGCAATAATACCAATGTACTATAGTAGTTTCCATTTTATTTGCCATTGTTCCAGTAGAACCACAATGTATTATAGTAGTTTCCATTTGATTGTCCATTTCCCAATAGAGCCCCAATATAACAGGAAATAGTCGTAGTTCTATCAATACTAGTAATAATGGTGATAATAGTAGTAATAGTATTACTAGTAGTAATATAGAAGTAATTATGAAAATAAGTACTCTGTTTCATCTCGCCAGGCTTTCCAGGGCGTGCGTGATTGGTTGGATGCCCGTGGCATGCGGCGGCATTTTCCGGCAGTGCTCCGGCGCATGCAGCCGCAGTGAACAGCTTTGCTGGAGTTGTGGTTGTCATTGCTTTGTTGCTGTTGCAACCTCATGATCTACTGGTGTTGGCTTTTTTGCATGATTGGTGTTGCCCGTTCAGGTGAACCAATGGTGCAAAGAGATGGGCGCAGCAACTCGTCCAATTGGCTCGGATACCAGGATTGCTGCCATACTCTCTTCAGCAAACTTGTACATGTGGGTGGTTGTCAAAATTGTGGTCTCTTTTTGGATCCCAATTACAATATGGCACCGAATTTTTAGGGTACCCAAAAAGGCACCATCATTTTGACAACCTACCATGGGTTACATGTGCCTCACGGAGCATCCAAAAAGCTCTGGCCAACTCAGGAAGACATCATGGATCTGATTGAAAACACGGAGGATGTGGGGAGTACGTGCAGCGAGCTTCATACAGACTGACTGAGTTCGGCGTACCTGTGCCCAGGAGATTGCCGAGTTTCTGGGAGACTCCCTCAATGATACTGAGCGTGCTGATCTTATCGGCCGGCGGTTTTTCGAGGGTCGGACTTCCTAAGCCCGACAGCCGTTGAAAAGGTGAACAGATGCATTGGAGACACTGGGTTGCTGTTCAGGCACTTAAATTTAGTTACTGCAATAGGGCTAGTTGGTTATTTGCTATATACCCATCTTATGGTAACTTAAGTCAAGTTCAACCAAGGATAGAAATGGCTTGTCAAAGAAGGATTTCAGGCTACCTCTTCCCTCAATGGGGATCCTTAACGCTATAACCTAGTGGCAGAAGGCATTCCACGCAGGGGGCTGGTGGCAAGCCCGGTAAAGCATTTTCTGGGTTGCTGTCGAGGAACATTTTTCAAATTACCATTATGTGTGTACACTCAAGTTCCTTAACAGCAACGAAGGTTTTTGCTAGTCCAAGCCAAGAGGCACGTCGTCTGAACAGTGTTTGAACCTGCTTGGGTGGGCGTTTAGGCATGTTTCCTGAATCAACGTATGCGGTAGCAGATGGCCAGATGGAATCCTGGAATCTTGTTCCGGAATTCTTTCTTCGACAAGCACTTACTATCAGAACTGCATGCTCTTGCACGCTGAGTGAAGATGTGCATTTGCGCAGCAGAAGAAGCTCGCTTCCGTGGCCATGATGGAACGTTGGCTCCGCAGGCATTTTGTAGCAGGCATTTTGTAGCATTTCGCCCAGTTCTGCGGGCTTGTGTCCTGAGTCGCCCTCCATCTGCCGCTATGGAAGATGCCGCCTCGTTTGATAACCGACCGCCTGTTCTTTTGGGACGGCGGCCGGTAAAAGGTGATGTTGAAGCAGGGAAGATGGAGCAGGATGGTATCCAGGCTCAAGTAGGACAAGTGGTGGGCAAAAGCAAAACCGTGGATGCCTGGCACGAAAAATGTTGTGAGAAGACAGCTCTGGTCCTGGGCATGATCTTCGCCGTTGTACAGGGCGTGTCAGCTCCTGCGATTGCGCTTTTCATGGGCGAGAGCATCACCACCTTAGCAGTTGCAGATCATGCAAACGAGTTGGATGCGATGAAACCTGAGCTCATCAAGGCAGGACATGAACTTGTAGACTTGCGACCCTGCAACTCTCTGTTCATTGAATGGGTATACTTGTCAAACCCCTCGAATGCTCACAAAATCGCAAACTGACAGCAGCCAAGTGGTCCCAGTAATGCCTAGCGGCCTCCTTCATGCCCTTCAGATCGGCGCTTTGGCGGCCATCCAGTTCTCCACCGCGTTCGCTTGGCAGACTTGTTTGGGGTGGGCTGCTGCTGGGTTGCTGTTAAGGAACTTAAGCTAAGTTACCATAATCTGGGTATATGATGAAACAAATGGTAGTTTCCCTAACTAGGGGACCTTTATCTAGACCCCAAAATACTAGAGCCATTATTATGGGGACCCCCAAAAAGGTCTCCCTAATTCAGGGAAAGCCCCAAATAGGGTCTCCTTATTATGGTAACTTAATGTGAGTTCCTTGAAATCAACTCAGGCTGCTAAGCAGGCCCTCCGCTGGCACCGTGGTTTCCTGGGTGCCTTGTTGCTGGCTTGCTGTTAAGGAATGTTGAATAAGTTGCGATAATAGAAGCCCTATGATTTAATAAATACCCATATTAGGGTAACCTTAACCCTAAACCAAAAAACCTTTATAAACCCATATTATGGTTATAGTCCCCCTTAAGTAGATAGAATATGGCTTTGGGTATATTATATTAAGATCCCCATTTACCCCATATTCTATCTACTTAAGGGGGACTATAACTTAATTTCAGTTCCTTAGCAGCAACTCAGGCTGTCCCTGGACGTATGTTGGTATGACGAGCGCCTCGCCCCCACGATTTTTTTGTTGCGTCATCTTTATGGGATATTTGGTAGTTTCCCAAAATACGGCTTTTTTTGGGGTGGGTCCAAATAGATTACAGTATTTGGGGCTCTACATTGGGGTCCCCTATTTTGGGAAGCTACCATTTAGAATCCCTATAAACCACCATCTTTCATCCCAGGGTCGATCTCATTTCCATATGTTTTTCCAGTTGGTTCTCCATTCTTGGGCCAATATCCCCAGATATCCTAAACCCCAAACCGTTGGTCCAAACCCTAAATCATGCGGTAGCTTTGATTTCTCCATTCCCCCTAGATACCCCTGTATATCCCTCCATCAAACTTTCCTGTGTTATCGTCATGGGTCCCAACCCAGGCATGAACCAGCAGGAGTGGCATCTAAGCTGGAGAGCGACTCATCAAACGTCTATTTGTTCATGTCTACAGTGCTTGGGCACCTCATCGTCAGCTTGGCGCAGTTCGCGACCGGCTTGTTCCTTGCTGTCTATGAAGGCTGGCAGCTGGCCTTTGTGGTGTGCGCGACGATGCCCGTCATGATCCTTGCCGGCCACCGCATGGGCAAGGAGGTGGAGTATCACACCACTATCCAACAGGCCAAGTTTGCCCGCGCCTCTGCGGTTGCAGAGGAATCCCTGATGGCTATCCGAAGCGTCGCAGCCTTTGGGGGTGAAAACATGGAGGCCGCCCGCTTCGAAAAAGAGCTCTCACCGGCCAAGGTTGCTGGAATACGAACTGGCGCAAAGATCGGGGCCGCCTGGGGTGTCTTGAACTTTTTTTACCCAGGCCTCTACGCTTTGGCACTCTGGTATGGCGGCCATGTCCTGATGCGTAAGGAGAACGCTGGATTCGAGGCCAGTCGCATTGTCGCTGCCTCAGCAGATAGGATTTTGCTGGCAGGTTTTTGTGTATGAGCTTTTGGGTTCCAGTGGGAGATTTTGCAGAAGCACTACACCCTCAGATTGAGTGAGCCTTCATTACTACTTACTACTGCATAGCACATAATGTGCCCAGCGCCGGGCCAACCTGCGAACGCAGTGAGTATGAAATCTGGTTTCAATGCAGGAGGACATGGACTTGAGATTTAAAGTGCAATTCTTTCCTATCGTCCCCACAACTGTTTTGTCATGGCACAGCCTCATTAGCCAGCTGCCAACATGTGCCTGCTGCCTGGTAACAGAAAGCGATCTTATGGCCGCGTGGCCACACGTGGAAAGCATACTAAGCTCAGTGAGGTCACCGTCATGATCTCCATGATGGTGGGCGTTTCAGGACTCAGTGCCTTCAGTGGCTTTGCCCCGGTGATGGCGAAAGCTGCTGCTTCAGCAAAATCCATGAAGGAAGTGATGGCCTGCCAAGCTCGGTACATCGAGCAGCCCCTCTACACGGAAGGGGAGCTCCCAGACGAGCTTTGCAAGGTAGAAGTGATCGAGTTTCGGAAGGTTAGCTTCAAGTACCCTGCAAGGCTTGACAAATGGGTACTCAGCGGCTTGAGCTTTCGGGTTGAGAAGGGGCAGAAGGTCGCGCTGGTAGGTGAGAGCGGCTGCGGCAAGAGCACCACCATCCAACTCCTCGAGAGGTTCTACGAACCCAGTGCTGGCGAGGTCTTGGTGAATGGAGTTCACCTGTGGCGGGTGCCTGCAAAGGCCTGGCGAAAGCAAATCGGCTATGTCGGCCAGGACTGGGTTGCGGTTAAGGAACTTAATTTAAGTTACTATATTGGGGAAATTCTTGTTTTTTTTCTCCAAATATACCCATTATGATAACTTAATTTACGTTACTGCATTGGGGAAACCCTATTATCTACTATGCTATCTATAACCATTATGGCAACAGAAGAGGTGGCTGCGGGGCCTGCGTTTTTTTCACCAGAAAAACCTGAATTTAAGTTCCTTGGCAGCAACCCACAGGAGCCTGTCCTCTTCGCCACCACTGCGATGAAAAATCTGAAGGCTATGGATGAGTCCATCACCGATGAGCAAGCAATCCAGGCCGCCAAGGATGCACAAATCTATGACACCTTGAGACACTGGGTTGCTGTTTAAGAAACTTGAATTAAGTTACTATAGCAAAGGAAATCCTAGGAATTGATTATGCACCCATAATATGGTGACTTAAATTAAGCTCCTTAAATCCTGTTATTCCCCCCGTCTCCATTTCATTTTCCATGTTATTTTCCATTTGATTCTCCACTGTAGGGGATAATATGGCAACTTCAATTAAGTTCCTTAACAGCAACCCAGGTCAGCTTCCGGAAGGGATGGAGACCTTCGTAGGCACGGGGGGTGGGCTGCTCTCAGGGGGACAGCGTCAGCGCGTTGCAATTGCACGTGCCCTCGCGAAGAAGCCTCAAGTCTTGCTCCTTGGGTATTCCTGGGAAAAGTTGTGTTATTTGCTGCTTGTGATTATTTGGTTGCTTAGGGTTTTAGTATATATAACCTAAACCTTCTAACACCCATAAGAAGCAACATTTTTCTGGGCCCGGAAATCTACCCAAGGCTCCTGGACGAGGCCACCTCTGCTTTAGACAACGAGTCTGAGCGCATGGTTCAGGCTACTTTGGACTCGGAGAGCATGCGCCACATCACTACCATCTCTGTAGCTTACCTCTTTAGATGTTAGGGTTTAGGCTTTAGGCCCCAAGCTTCGCCTCCAAAATGGAGTAGGTTCCATTTTTCTACATCCCCATAGAGCCACAGTTTCCGTGTCATCGTCCATTTTCTTTTCCGGGCAATTCCAATCCCCTTAAAACCCCAATTGATTGTGGTTCCCATGTCATCTTCCATTTTCTTTTCTATGTGGTTCTCCACTGTTACCAGAGCTCTAAGGTAGCCCACAGGTTGACGACCATCAAGGCCTCAGATGTGATCTACGTTCTCAAGGATGGCTATTGCTGTGAGCAGGGCAACCATGAGGAGCTGATGGAAAAGAAGGGCCAGTACTATAGTATGGCTAAGCTACAGCAGGCCAAGCGCGAGGAGGAGGACCAAGATGAGGAGACGCAGAAGAGTCGGCTGGAAGAGAGGCACGCCACCGCTCACACTTCACTGGTCTCGGCGTGCAGCGAAGCCCAGCAGGATCATGGGATGTCAGTGAACGATCCAGGCAATGACACGGGCAAAGCTGTGCCCCCACGGCTTTGGTGCCGACTGATGGACATGATGAACATCTATTGGTGGGTTTCTTGCTGGTTCTTAGTAGGGAGTCATATATATCATAGGTATTACATAGGGATACTATTCCCCCCTATTCCCTACCTAAGAACCAGTAAGGTTTGGCCCGTTGCTGTCATCGTTGTCCTGGCTGGAGCGGCCGCCATGCCCCTGGAGGCAGTCTTTTTCAATGCTGCCGTGGTGGGTCTCTCTGAGACTGCCAAAGACTTCGACTTGGAGGCGATGGGTGGGGTTTTAGGGTTTTCAGGTTTAGGGTTTAGGGTTGTAGGGTTTAGGGTTTTAGGGTTTCAGGGTGTTAGGGTTTAGGGACAACAAGGGGGGATAATATAGGGTATTATAGGGCCGGGCTTATATTGGGATAATGGAAAACTGGAAGCTACTACAGTGGGCTTGTATAGGGGTTAGGGTTTAGGGACAACAAGGTTATGTTCTACAGCCCACGTCACCCTTTCCCCCACCACTCCTAACCACAGTTCTGAGGGTCGATGGCTTCTGTAGGTAGTTTTATCCAGCCAGGCAATGTATGTGAAGCTAACCCTAAACCCTAAACCCTAAACCCCAAACCCTAAACCCTAAACCCTAAACCCCAAACCCTAAACCCTAAACCCTAAACCCTAAACCCAGGCAATGTATGTGAAGCTAACCCTAAACCCTAAACCCTAAACCCCAAATCCTAAACCCTAAACCCCAAACCCTAAACCCTAAACCCCAAACCCTAAACCCTAAACCCTAAACCCAGGCAATGTATGTGAAGCTGGACAAGG